CTACTGAGGAGTTAGAGACCTCCAGCTGCGGCCAGAGGCTGGAGGAAACACCTGAACTTGTGGAATCCCAGTGCCGGGCAGCCAGGACCAAATCCATATCCCCCTAACGTTGGGTACCCTGAAGGTTCCAATCCTGCCCCTCCACCGCCTGTAAATCCTGCCTGTCCTCCAGGCCCCTTTCCAACTCCCCCAGGAGTTCCCCCAGGGGAATCCAGCTTTCCCCCCAGGTGGGCCCCCTCATCCTGTGCCACAACCAGGGTATCCAGGATGCCAACCCCTAGGTCCCTACCCACCTCCCTACCCACCACCTGCTCCTGGCATGCCTCTTGTGAATCCTGTGGCACCCGGCATGGTAGGACCGGGAAGGGTGATGACCAAGAAGATGCGGAAGAAAATGAAGAAAGCTCATAAAAAGATGCACAAACACCACCAGCATGGCAAGCATTCTGCCTCCGCCTCCTCCTCCTCCTCCTCTTCCAGCAGTGACTCTGACTGAATACAGGGCCTGGACCCTTCCCACAAGCCTCGCCAGTTCTCTCCCATCAAGCTTCAGATGCCATCTTGCACTGGGGAAAATTAGCCCCTGTGCCCCTTCTCCCTCATCCCCCCAATCTGAGCCTTACTGTGCTGTTCAGCCCTAACCGGCTAGGGAGAATGGGAAAAGAATTGCCATGGGCTCGCAAAGACCATCTTCTCACTACTTGGGTAGAACTTTTAGCTGTTGAGTTTAGCAGGAGAACTATTTTTTGAGGATGGTGAGACCTTGGAGCTAAATGCCAAAGATGAGTTTAAGATCTGTAAAATGTGATTTTTTTTTTTTAACTTTCTTTTGTAATACTTGTAGTTGGGAGGTGTTGTGGAAATTTAATTATGGAAAAAAAGAAACTGTGCCGTTTTTGTAATGGTGGCTGGCACACTTTGGTGATTTAGTGGCAAATAGATTTCCCAGCAGCCTTTATTGATTGTACTAACTGTAAGGCTGCTGGGAGGTGGAGTCCATTTGGTTGATAAGCTCTGCTTGCCATTTTGGAATCTCACTCCTTGGTTCAGTAGGCTGGCTTAGGTCCTTCTCGTTCCCCACCTCTCAGTCCAAACAAAGCTTTTTTTCCCTTGGGGGGGGGGGAATATATCATCTGCATGTGTCTGAATATGTGAAGTGTTTCATAACACATGTTAAGTAATGATCGTGGTGTCACACACTAGTTGTACATGGTATATGTAAGAATGTAAGTGATCATTTGATTTTGTAGGAATTTAAAGGAGTAAGAATTATGGCAAGAAAACTTAGGAATTTTTCTTAAAGGGAGTGGAAATTGAGTTGGGCCTTGAAAGATGGATAATTTTTTGGTAGGAAGCAGAATTAAAGGCCCAGAGGTAGAAGAGAACTTGGCTCGCTGCAAAAGTTAGTGAGGAAACTGACCAGCTAGGAGGGTGCCATTCGCATTGTCTCCAGGGCTGGGCAGGCACAACTGTATCTGGTGGCCCGGTTGGAGGAGTATTGGCAAAGTGGGGAATAATTAGAAAGGTGGAAATGCTGGACTGAGAAGTTTGGACTTCATCCTATGAGAAATGGAAACTGTAGAAGTGGTTTTGAGAAAAAAGACAACGATAGCAAAGTGGCTGAACATACAGGCTTTGGAACTAGATAAAAATTAGTTTGATTTGTGGCCATATTACTGTGTACTAGCTATATGATTTGGGGAGTCACTTGTTTATTAAGCCTTGTTTTTCTTAGCTGCACAATGGGTATACTAATATTTTCCTTATAGAATTATGTGAGGGTTAATTGAGATAATATACACAGTGCTTGACACATAGTAAGTGCTCAGTAAATTGTATTTGATTGTCATAAGTCATTGTTTCAGAAATTTATTTATTTATTTATTTTCATACAGCCACCAAAGGGGCTCAGATATTTTTTTTACATACTTTTTTTTTTAAAGTAATCTCTACACCCAACGTGAAGCTTGAACTCACGACCCTGAGATCAAGAGTCGTATGCTCCACTGACTGAGCCAGCCAGGCGCGCCGGGGCTCAGCTATTTTATAAATGGCAGTGGTATATAGGATGAATTGGGGGAAGAGAGACTGGTAGGCAGACTAGCTGATTTTGTTTTTAAGTGATTTTTAACTTTGTAAAACCAGTTAGTTGACAGTGACATTGGTATGAAGTAACAAAGGCTTAAGCTGTGGTTTTTGAAGTTGGAAAAACAAACGTCTGTGTCACCAGATCTATGGCATTATCACTTACAAGATGAACCATTATTTATTACCATGAAGACTGAAAAAACATTGACAAACTCCGGCACAGTGCTGATCACTTAGAATTTTTGTTTTATGCTTATTGAAAGAGCTCTTTCAAGCTTATTTAGACATAGATTTTAATTGTATTGCATTTTATATAGTACCAAAAAAGGAATGTGAAATAAATTGATATTCCTAAAACTTCCTCACTTTCACAGCCTGGTGCTTCCGAATAATTTCTTGTTGCAAAGTCATCATCGTCTGTGACATTTCATGTAATACTGTCCTCTGTGCCATCAAGAGCACGAGTGATGCTGCATGGCTTTAAAGAGTGCTCTGCTATTGTCTCTAGATGTTTTTCCAAGCTGTGACAAGTTTGATGCTGGTGCTTCTTGATCTTACCAGAAAGATCACTGGGGAGATTATCTAACTGCAACCAAGACTCACATTCCTTTCTCAAATGGTTTGTTGATTGAAAAGGCAAGGGATTGGGGCGCCTGGATGGCTCATTCAGTTAAGCGTCTGCCTTCGGCTCAGGTCATGATCCCGAGGTCCTGGGATCGAGCCCCGTGTCGTCGGGCTCCCTGCTCAGTGGGGAGCCTGCTTCTCCCTCTCCTCCCCACTTGTGCTCTCTCTCGCTATCTCTGTCTCTCTCTCAAATAAATAAATAAATATATAAATAAATAAAGGCAAGGGATCACAGTCATGCTCCCAGGGAGAACAGCCACCACGTTCACAGGTCTACAGCCTGTGACAGCTGTGCCTCAGGTTGCCTCATCCACAGCAATTGTAAGATGTATCCCAATTTCAGAGGACTGATAAATGTGAAAGAATATGAATCTCAGAATTGATAAGTCAGAACAAATTGAAGCACTAGCTTGATCCTTCTGGGAAACTTTACTGAGCAACCTTAAAAACACTGTGGTCACAGCTAAAGTTATTCTGTTATAAATTACTTGGAGGAATGCTCTACCAGCAATTTGGTTTTTTTTCTTTTTGAAACTCACGGTATTTTTAAGGCATTATATAGCACTGATAAGTTTAGCCAAATGCCTGGATATGAATTCCTAGAATTTTACTGATCCATAAAAATGGCCAAAATTGTTTGAAACTAGCTAATGTAATAGTAATAATCTAATGATTTTCTGTCTTTGAATGCCAGGTATTTCCAGCACAGTGAAATTTATTTTTATACTATTATCATTCACTCTTACTATGGGCCTACATACTGATATAATGATTTAACTTGATATATTAAAGTTCAAAGACCAGAACTTACGCTTATAAGATTCGGTGTTTCTCTGGGCTGGTAGCATAAAAACTCTACATAGGATACAGAAACCTAGAAAGCAGAAAATATAAATCCTTAAAGTTGGCATGGCAACGCCAGCTGTTTATGTTACAGTAAATATATTGGCAATGATTTTTGAAACTTTCTTTTTTGTGTTAGAAACCAGGCTACCACTGAATCTCTGGGATGATAATGATTAAACATGTTTGTACTATTTTTCTTTCATCGCCTTCATTGTTGACCTGTTTGGAAGGTTCTGTCACTGCAAAAGTTGTATTTCGTGGCCAACAGTAATTTTTACTTTTTCTACATGCTTGAGATGGAGTATGGGAATCTTTCTTTTTTAATCCTCATAATGAGATACTTCTAAGGAAGTTTGTCCTGATTGAGAGTCCAGTCTGGAGCAGAAAACCCAGGCCTTGAACATTGTCGTAATTTTTGGATACCTCATTTTCTCTTCCCTTTTTTTCCGAGGATAATGGCTTGATGCCTGAAAGCAAGTTAGTTTCCTATCCCATCTTGTTATATTCCCGTAATTTCATGGCTTCTTTGTTATCCCCTAAGGTGTCCTTATCCCACTGTGTATTCTTGTAAGTGAATGAGCCCATCATTGGTGGTTATAGGATCCCGTGTCTGCCTACCATTTCTGCTCATCTTGGAGGAATGTGTGCATGTACAAATGTGCTGCCATTAAGTTCTCTGTCTCTGGAGAGACCTTTCACTGGTAGTGGAAGGAAAGGAGTCAGAACAGTGATATCTGGTTCAGACCTGGGCATGTTGGAGCTACAGAAACATCATGGATTCGAAGGTTACCTCTGTCACCAGGGAGGACCAGAAAGGAGGAGGGCTTGACCCGCGGGGCTCTCTCTGGCCCTGGGCCTTGCTGATAGTGGTACCTTTGACACACAGCTACAATATACACTGCTTGTTTTTCCCTCCGATGCCTTTCAGCCCAGCCTCTTAAGCACTTGAATCACCTGTTGGGTAGTCTGGCCTTGCAGGAAAGTAGTGGCAGTTTCAGATAGGTTGCCTAGAGCTTTAGAGACATAAGTCCTTGGTGATCTTGGAAGTGATTTTGGTGGTGAACTGCCACAGCTAGGTTTTATCAGGTGGCCCAGGAAATGCAGAATAAAGAACACCATTCCTATTAGATCTGGAACAGGTAAGGGGGTCGGCATTGAATGAGAAAACGTGATTTTAACCAAGAAGCAGTATTTCTGTAAAACTTCCCCCTGGCTCCTTTCTACTGTTATTACCTGCAATTTCATCATCTTTTCACTTTAATTCTGTACAGTGTGATGTCTTTGGGGCCAGTGGGTATTTTTATCTGCTAGTTGTAGAAGTGTTTGCTCTTAGGGCTCTGCTGTGGCTGAGGGAGGTAGCCCCACCCCCTCTCCAGTTGCTTGGCACCAACCCTCCCTGGTTGCTGGGCATCTCGTTTACTGCTGCCCTTAATTCCCTGCAGGTGCGTAAGTACAAGAGCATGATCCTGGAAGACCTGGAGTCTGCCCTGGCAGAACACGCCCCTGCGCCACAGGAGGTTAACTCCGAGCTGCCACCTCTCACCATCGATGGAATTCCAGTCTCTGTGGACAAAATGACCCAGGTAAGGGGCGGGAAGTGAGGAGGAGACAGAAAGACAAGTGGCCCGGGTGTGGGCGGGTCTCAGATCACACTTGTCAGTTTTGTGCTCAGTGATAGCAGCGGAGAGAGGCTGGGTTCTGACAGCAAGGCGGTAGCAGCCTTGGGGAAGAGAATGTAGTGTCAGAAGAATACTCTCCTCCTTGGTTGGCAGTTCTTTCCTTTCACTTGGGCCGTTGGGTTAGATAAAGAAACTTGTAGCTCAGAATTGGTTTGCTTGGACAGGTGACTGTTAGGACTTTGATGAGTCACCGTCAAGCAGGGCAAGTAAACTATTAGTCTTTTGGGCTAAGCTGCTCCTCTTTCCATGTAAATTCTGAATACCACCACACTGTCGCCAAGGAAGGCTCCCCTTTCTGGGGAATAAGAATGGAAAACTCAGAAGGACACCCTTCTGAGTCATTGCTTCTCTCCTCTTGCTTTGACGAAGGAAGTCAAGATGTACTTAGCCAGATAAATCAGCATTCCTCAGGAATTTTGCTGAGGTGGTCCGTCTCAGCTTTGAAAGTGATAGCTTGATCAAGATCAAATGCCCTTTTTAATAACATATTTTCCTACCTTATTTATTTATTGTACTCTTCTCTTGCTAAATCCAGTTGTGCATTTTCTTTCCTTATTCAGTCTTCCAGCAGCATGTGACACAGTTGATTATTCCTTCCTTTAAAACACTTCCTGGGGCACCTGGGTGGCTCAGTTGGTTGAGCAGCTGCCTTCGGCTCAGGTCATGATCCCAGGGTCCTGGGATTGAGCCCCTCATCGGGCTCCCTGCTCGGCGGGAAGCCTGCTTCTCCCTCTCCCTCTGCCTGCCTCTCTGCCTACTTGTTCTCTCTCTGTATCTCTCTGCCAAATAAATAAATAAAATCTTTAAAAAAAAATAAATAAAACACTTCCTGCTCTCTATGTCTGACCCCACACTCTCCGAATGTCCTCCCACCTCACGGTGCTCCTTCTCCGCTCTTCCGCTTGCTCTTCCTCCTGTTCTCAATGACCAGTATTGGCATGTCTGTATCTTTACTTTCTTTCCAAGTGGTCTCATCTGGCCCATGGGCTTTATGTCCCTTCTATATCCTGTTTACAGCCCAGCTTATAGCACTCATTCTTAGATATCCAGTGCCCAGCATGCCCCAGACAGAACCTTCGATTGCCCCACTCTCCACTCCCCCTACGACCCTCCGTATTGGTGACCAGCACCACTGTCCATCTGGTTGCTCAAGTGCCAGCACAGGAGCAACCCTTTGTTTCCCTGTTTCGCCCTCACTCCACGTCGTCTCAGTTCGGCTCTGAGATGTGCCCTGAATCTGACCGTTCTCCTCAGTTCCCATCACCACCCTCGCCCAAGCCAAGTATCTCACACGTAGAGACTATTTCATTTGATCGACTCTCTTGCTCTCCTTGCCGCTCTTGCCCCGCTGCAGTCTGTACCTCACGGAACCACCAGAGGTTTTTTCCAAAACTTAAATCTGCTCATATCACCGCCTTATTTAAGCCCTTTAATGGCTTTCCACTATTCCTAGAATCAAATTCAGACTCTGCCATGGCCTCTGAGGTCCTGCAAAATCCGAGAATCCAGCCTCTTCCAGCTCCATTCTTCAGTCTCCCCCTCAGTCACTGTGCTCTGGCCACCCTGGCCCTCTTTTTGCCCAACACTTCAAGCCCATTCTTTCGCGTTGGCTGTTTCCTCTGCCTGAAACGTTGTTCTCCCGGATCATTACATGTGTAACCTTATCCTAATCAAAGTCTGCCTCAGACGTCACCTCCTGAGCCAAGCCTTTCTTGATTATCCCATCTAATGGAGCTTCTCCTTGCTACCAAGTCACTGCCTAACACATCCCCCATTTTATTGTCTTGGAAACACTGATTACTACCTGAAATCATCTTACTCATTAACATTTATACTTACCTGGGATCTCTCTAGCTAGAATTTGAGAGCAGGGATTTAGTTTCTGTTCTTTACTGCCATCTGCTACAGCTCCCGGCACCCAAATAACCTCTGAATTCTAAATAATAGTATCTGTTCAATAGATGACCTAAGTGTCAGAGTAAAACAAATTCAGCATGGTAGTTACCTGGATTGGAAGTCTTCCAAGTACGTATTCACAGGCTGCAGACATTGACAGTACTACTCAGGAGGTGGCCCTTTTTTCCTGCTGAGTCTGAACCTGTAGCTTGGTCTAAAGCCATACAGTATTTTATAAAGCTACATTGTGATCATTTGCTTGTTGGATTCATAGATCTTTCTGTGAACATTTGAAGAATATCTAAATAATGGCTCAAAAAGGAAAGCATTATCTAAACTTTTTTCCTGTCACTTCATACCTATTATTCTGTCCTTAAGACCATTCTAATTAAAGAAAACATAAGGTGAAATTTTTTTTTTACCTGATTGATGTAAAGAATCTTCTTTGTACCTCAGATATAAGGTATCTATAAAGTTAACTAAGCTTCTGATTAAGAATACTGTGTTAGGCATGTGAGGCATTATGCCCTCTCCTGTGATGGGCACTTTTTCCTTCTTTGTCACATTTGGTGTGTTAGGTTGAAATAATCTGAGGTTTTGATTATATTAAATCATCATGGACAAGTTTCATGTTATGAAACTTGGCTTATGGCCTCAGAAGTCATAGCAAACAGTTTAATTTTCATGTTGGAGGTAAAACATTTGTAACTGTGCTGTTTTCTATTCTTGTGACATATACACTTGGGAGAGCTTTGTGTAGTGATGGATCCAAGGGAAGCTGGTACTCAAGTCAGGGGTCAGACTCAGAGGTGCTTTGTTGGGGGCGTGCATTTTCTTTATCGTCCTACGTTCCCTCCTTTCCCTTCTCACCACAGATCATGACCAAAAAGTAATACGTGACCAATAAAACAGATGGTGAGGAGGAGTGAGTAGAGTGATGAAAAGCCCAGCTCCTAATTGAATGGGAATTTCTGAGTATTTGCATCCTGGGTTTTCTACCCCAGATCTTTTTTTTTTTCCCCAGTTGTTTTCCTCAGATCCTTGTTATTAATGTGAGCCAGTTACCTTTTTTTTTTCCTAATTGATCCCAAAACCTTTCATTATTAATGATAGTAAAAGCAGGGTGTTATTTCAAACTAAACCTAGGTAGGAGAGGGAATGAGAATACAAGCATTTTAACACCCTGTCAATAGAAATAATGCAGTGGCATGATCTTTCCAGAAAGCAGGGTGGCAGTGTATATCAAAATTTAACGTGTATGTCATGCCCACCAGGCGAGCAAAGATGTATGTTCATGGCACTGTTGATAATAGGAAAATCTGGGAACAAAGTGCTTGAATAAATTATAATAGTGATGTTTAGAATTTACATGAGAAGATAAGCAGCTCCCAAAAGAGACCAGAAATTTACTATTGAGTGAAATATTAGACACCAAAAATGCCAACTTGTTCTCTATTGCAATGGGATAGAGAGTTCCAGTAGTTTTTAACTGCTTATAAAATAACATTTCTTGGGCGCCTGGGTGGCTCAGTTGGTTAAGCAACTGCCTTCGGCTCAGGTCATGATCCTGGAGTCCCGGGATCGAGTCCCACATCGGGCTCCCTGCTCGGCGGGGGGTCTGCTTCTCCCTCTGGCCCTCTTCCCTTTCATGCTCTCTGTCTCTCATTCTCTCTCTTTCAAATAAATAAATAAAATCTTTAAAAAAAATAACATTTCTTATGTACTCTAATTCGAGTGCTTTATTTAGTACTTTGTTTAATGTTTTATATTTTGTTTCTTTGGGAGAGGGCTAGATTTTTTTTTTCTTTCAGGAAATACATAATTGAGTTAATCAATTTCATCTGTTTAAAACATGCACACAAAACTTGTCTCTGTCTGTTGCGTGTGTGTAAAACTTTAGAGAGATGTAAATATATTTACTGTAAAACCAAAATATTAACAGTGATTATCTATGCATGGTGGCATTATGGGTGATTTTTATTTTATTTGTCTTATTAACACTAATTACTTTTATAACCATAGAAACACAAAAAATATTTTCATATTTATATTGAACTTGAATTTTTTTAAGTACAAGTTTGTTGAACTTTATGTTTGGGTGAAGATGTCAACAACTTTTTCTTTCTCTTATTTTTCTCTTCTGTAGCTACTATGTTTTGGAAGGCACACTACTAAGTTATTCACAGGGGTATCTCATTTAATCCTTGCCCTCCAGAGTATATATATAATTCCTCTTTCATAGTCAAGGAAGCAGAGCTCATATATGATCAGTAGCTATAAAGGACCAAGTAAATTTAATTGGACACCAATTCTAGAATTCAGACCAAATGGGTAATTCATGACTTCTTGAAGTGATAAAATTCCAGAATTGTAAAAGTACACTGTAACAGAATTGGATTTGGGTTAACCAGACAGCTCTATTAGTTGTCTTATCTGCCCTGAATGCAACGGAGATGACTAATGTTTATATTGATGGGATCCTAACTCATAAACATAATTCTATATGCTATCCTAAGATGAATTTTCAGTCATCCAAAGAGTAAATTATATTTGATATTGTTCTAGTGTTATGTGTTCCATTATTTTAATTCCTTACAAATTTGAGAATTAGCCTGGTTTTTTAGAGTTGGAAGGTCTAGTCTCTAGTCCCAATCCTACCACATATAGCCTTGGTTCCCAGTTTCATCTTCTGAAAATGAGAATAATATATGCCCTCCTACTTTATGGAGTCAGAGGAAGAAAAAATGAGGTATTATATGGGAAAGTGCTTTGAAAATGAAGGCATCACACAAAGATAGTATTACCAATTATTAATACTGTTTATATTACCTATATTAACTTTTGAGTAACCTGAACATACCATTTCTCACCCATTTTTCACTTACAGAAAGTTAGTGAACCTGGAATTTTTATTTGGCTCAGCAATGAAGTGGGACAATACAGGTGGCAATATATTGAAAAATTGAGACATAAAGAGAGGAAGCAATTTATGAAGCAAGTTAGTGACA